TTCGGTATGGTACATAACAATAAAAAAAGCTTTGGGCAGAGGAATGGGTATAGGACAGAACATTATGAGATGAAGGCTTTGGTTCGATGAAGGGCTATATGGTGTTTGAAATGAAAGCGAGGAGGAAAGGAATGAGAACTGAATAGTTTCGGTTCAAATTGAAGTGATAATCCAAAATGGAAATTTTAGTTTAAGAGAGCTTTCTAAATGCGAGGGTTTTTTTAGATCTCACCGCTTTCTCTTTCTTGTTTTTCCAAGTAATCCCAAGAAGTAATCCCAGTTCTTTGGGAATAAATTGGATTGTATTTAGTGCTTTAGTCACAAAAGTTGAATGGATTTAGTCAACTTAAGAGTTGAGTTAAATGTCTAAGACTTGAGGGTCATTAATTCATGTGAGTGTGTTATTCAAAATTACAAGTTCAAGTCACTTCTGTAATTTTATGGTAGGAAAAATATACCCAGTATGAAAGAACCAAAATTTTAACCTGAATTCCACTCTAGTAAAATCTAGAACACTTGATATGCCCTTTTTAAAAATAAATAAATAAATAAATAAATCCTAGCACTCTAGTGATTTTTCTTTGAAGTAGTTTGAACTTCTTGAAAGAATATTCAAAGTGTAAAAGGTTTTGAATTTCAATGCTTTAAGATATTTTGAAAGAGTTTATTCTTTAAATTTTACAAATTTTAAAATTTTGCTTTGCTTTGAAAGCTTGAAAAGTGACTTTTTAAAAGAAGTCATGAATTGAATTTGAATGATAATTTTTTTGAGAAAATAATGCATTAAATTACTAAGATTATTTTTGGTTCGTTCATAAAAACACCAGTTTTGATGATTAAGCAATAAAGAATCACGTTGAATTTAGGACGTTCGAATTTATAGCTCGCCCCTTGAGATCTCTTGACTACTAGACCATACGTGCGCATTGACCTCTCTAGGTTTTGATATGTTACTAATATTGACAACATTAATGTTAATTCTCTGTTTATTTTATTTTACGATTCATTTTTTCTATTTTTGAAACAAAAAGAGATAAAGGCAAATTTCTTCTTGAATAACCTGAACAAATTTTGAGATTTTATACAGAATTTTTCTTCTTCTTTAGAATTTGATTTTTATTTATAAAATGTAATATTTTACTGTTTAACTTTTTATTTTTTATTTTTTATTTTTTTAAAAAAAAGAAAGAAAGAAAGAGAGGAAAAACTAGTATAATTTTCACTTATATGATCAAAGTTATTCTTTGTATTTGAATATACAACATTTAGATATTCAGACCCATTTTTTTTCTTTTGTTTAAAAATGTGTAACGTTTTTTTTTTCCCTGGCAAACAAACAAACACCACTACAGAAACAAAACAACATGAGTACACAGTAACAACAACAAGATATGGGGAAAAAAGGAAACATGAACCAATGTTGTTTCACACCAAAAAAGGCTATTGAAGCGTTTGTCCTCAGCATGGTCGATTTCTTTTTCATGTCTCCAAACATGACTATCTTTCAAAGGTTGAAACAAGAGTGGACTAAGAATGTAAGACTCAGGGATACAGGTGGTGGTTGGTCTACACCTTATATTATCAGATACCCATCTTGGCCTTTCACAATCCACGAGGGTGGACTGATGCTTCAGTGAAATTCGCACTTGGGTCGCCCACAAAAACATCTGGACTTTGGGTCGGGCTAGATAATAAGCCCAAACCCCATTGGACCAGCTAACTCTAAGGCTGCACCGTTCATAACCCAACCCACAGGGTCCATCTCCCCAAAATAGGATATAGCCTTATAGTGTTGAATAGTTACGTATTCTCCATGCTGATGGATCAGGACCATCATTATAGTGTTGACTTTTGGGAAGCCGTCTGACAAGCTAACAGCTGGCACGGATACCTAGGAAATCGTATCATCCCCAGCGACCAAAGAGTAGGCAAAGGGAAGTTCGCCGGCAAAATTGCCTTTGCCTACATCTAGGGCAACATAGAATAATTTGCGAATTGGACGATCAATCAAGACACCGTTGAGTGATTGAAGTTAGGGGTGGCAAAGTTCGATACAACTTACCAATACCATACACACGAATTAAATGAGTAATGGGGTTTACTATAAATGGATTCGTGTCGTAAACGGGTTGACACGATTAATTCGTTAAGTTAAACGTGTCATGTTCAGATTTTAAAGCTTAACCTGGTTTAACCAGTTTAATTAAACGTGTCACCGTGAATCCGTATAACCTGCTTTGACCTGGCAAGGGACATTCAGGTCACTTCATAGTATACACAAGAAACCCTACATATCTTTAGTTATTAGACTCATTAGTCATTACGCAATACGCAGTGGCAGATTTATCTTCTCTTCTCTTCTGTCTCTTTCTCCTCTTTCCTCTTCAGAGTTCAGACAAGAGAACTCCCTTTCTCTCTAAATTCCTCAGTCATCGATCTGTAATTCTATATCATCGTTCATCGATTTAGCAGTCCTCCATCTCTATCATCGTGAGCTCACCCAGATCTCTATCTTCAGTCCAGTCTCCAGTCCTCCGTCTTGTACAACTCAGTGAACTCACCTGGATCTATCTTCTTATTGCACGCACCTAATTCTTCGACAACTTAGTGAACTCATCCGGGTCTATTTTCTTGTTTAGGTAAAATACTAATAATTCCATCAATCATTTTATCTATGTATATTGTGTTGCTTGTAATCCGGTCTTGCATTACCTGTGATTTTTATTATAAAATAACCAAACGAAATGGGTGTGATTCGTTAGTGTACTAAACAAATCATTTTAGTTTCAGCCCCTTTTATTCTTCATTGACATCAACTTTTAAATTAAAAATATAAAACTTTGTATTTGATTTTAATGATTTAACCCATTAATTAATAATATAAAACAAACTAATAATTTTAATGATTTTGCCCATTAGTTTGTATTTTTATTTTAATGATTTTGCCCCTTTTATTCGTTAGTGTACATGATGATCGTAGATATCGTTTATTTTTTCTCTACACATAAGTTTTCTTTATTTGGTTATGTTATAATAATAACCAGCAGAATATTTTTTATTAGCCCCAATGTCTAAATCATTTTTAAATTTTAAAATAATAATTCCTGCAATCATTATGTATATTTTAAAATTCTTAACGAAAAACTATTTTTATTAGTCATTTTTCAATCTGTTTTTTAAACTTATTTCAATCTATTTTTTATATTTTAATATGTTTGTGATTTGTGATGGATCTTGCATAATAGTAAAAGATTTTTCAACTGATTTGACTAAATCTTACCAAGAACACTTGATGCTAAGAACAAGTCCTTTATAGATTGGGTCAGCTCAACAAGTCCTTTAAAGAATATTAAAGAATGCATGTGAACGTGTGTGTGTGTGTGTGCATGTGTGTGTGTGTGTGTGTGTGATGTTCATGTGGTAATGTTTGCATTGAAATTATTGGCAATATTTAGATTTGGATTGACTTTAGTATCCTGACTTTAGTATCTAATGATGCAATTGGAAATCAAATTATCTATAATGATGACCCGGCGGTTCTATCACAAACTATAGTATTCTTATTTTGCATGCATTCTTTAATCCCTTTGTTTCCAACTTTCCATTACATGCATTATTTTATATTTCAATCTGTTTTTCTTTATTATTTTTATTTCATTTTTTTTTAATTTTTTATCTAAACTTATTATACACTTACCTGTTTTGTAGGAATTTGTACTTTTGGGTATTTCAAAAAAGAGTGCTTGCAGATTGCATAAGGAAGTTTTTGAGTTGCGAATTTGTTACCTTGACATTTCTATTAAACATTTTTATTTTGGTCGGTAATAACTTATGACTTATTACTTATTTTTATTTCGGTCCGTAACTTATGACTTATTTTTTTTTCAGTCTGTAACTTATAACTTATGATTTGTGACTTAATCTTCATCTTTGGCTTTTAATCCCTCTGTTGGACTACATTACAAAATTTCTAGCAATGTTTGTTAGTATTTTAATCTTTGGCCACTTTAAATAGGTTAAGTGGGTAAACACCTTAAACAGATTAAACGAGTAAACATGTTAAACAGGTCGTGTTTGGTGTGTCTAATACGACTCGTTTATTAAACGAGTTACGCGTATCGTGTCGTGTTACCCCGTTTAATAAATATGTCGTGTTTGGACTTAGGATATGTGACACGATTATTAATCGTGTCGTGTTCGGATTGACCTGTTTAGTGTTATACTCCTAATTCGACACAACATGATTATGTTGCCACCCCTAATCGAAACTCAAACGAACTAAGATTTCTTATGACACATGGTCATAAACCATAAGTGCCACCGTTCACCACTACCATGCAAGCCATCGTCAGACAGTTGCAATTATGATGTGAAGGAAACCAGGCTAACAATTTTGGAATGCCAGTCCATCTCTCATACTTTTGCTGCATCAGTTGATGTGGAAACCGAGACGAAAATAAAAGAGATTGCACCGGAATATCACCGGCAGTGGAATTGCAATCATTAACAAAAACCCAGCTCTGATTATGGCGAACAATTGAAAACCTCTTCACCAAATTCTTACCACCTTGACCAAAATATTTGGCATCATCCAGCCACAATCTATAAGCACGGCTAACAGAAAAATACACCTCATTGATAACAGGTTGACCCGTCGTAGTAAACCAACGAGACAAGAACCATGGCGGAAGATAGAAAAAAATAAGAAAAAACATAGACAACAAAAGATAACAATGAAGACAGAGAGTAAGAAGAGAATTACGCAGAAAGAAAACTTTACTGACGCCAGGATCAAAAGGTAAAAGCATCCAACTCTGTCTAAGGCACCAAAACCCCGGTGTTACCACCATCGGCTTACCGGTCCGGGGAAGCAAACCCACATGTCATTCTTACCCCACACGGGCCACACCATAGGCACAAGTGATGCAAGATTCGCTGGAAGCCAAACCATGGAAATACGTCTAACGTAAGATAATCTCAAACTTTGAGAACCAGTGTGACTTATAAGCATGTATAAATAGAGTAATATGGACAAAACAAAAAGAGAGCACAAAAAGCATCACAAGAGATGCAAACCAGAAGTATCTCGTGAGATGCAAACAAACAACAAACTAAAGGCTTAACTATAAAAAAAAAATAAAAATAAAAAATAAAAAAAAACTAAAGACACCAAACATTAATTCACACCAAAATAACAAAGATGGCTTAGATCCTCTCACCATTGAGCATCCCTGCATGAAAAGATGCTTCAGGTTATTAGACTCTCAATATTCTTTGAGTCGGAGCATTTTCTCAGCAAAATAGAAGCTAGCCTGCCTTTAATGCAACTTTTGATTAGGAGTTTTTACATATAAATGGGCTTAGGGCTCCATATTTACTAAGTGGCTGAATCAAAATTCCATAATTTCAAGAAAATGAGATTGACTAAAAAATTATATGGACATGAACTTTTACTGTTTAGGAATATTGTGTTGTCTAAACTATCGTTCTCCCTATTCCAACACATTTATCTGATTGACCTTTTTTATTTACTCGCCCAATCTAAGCATATCTGGCCAATAAACCCTCATTCGTGCATCAAAATATTAGAGATGCGCCTTCCCTCTCTATCTCTCCCTCTCTCTAACAGCAAAGCAAGATTTGCGGTAGCCCGTTCTCTGTTTCTCTATCCAGCGAACATGGAGGTCTTTTCCACTTCGTTTCTCTTTGATGACTGATTCTATTCGGTGTGAAATCAAGCCAGACTTAGGATTTGTCTCTCTCTCCTTCACTCTTGAGAGCGTTTGAGGTAATTTTTCATCTATTTTCTATGCATAATCCGTGATTCTAATATGAGTTTATATTTTTTCTTTTGGGTTTTTCATCTATTTTGCGCATTCAATCCAAGATTGCATATTCAATCCAATTTATGTCGATTACCCCTGGCTGAACTGAGTGATTTTAAAATATGTTTTTTTTTTTCTTACAATATGTTTTATAATTGAGACATGGAAAGGGATTTGTTTTTCCTTGTAGAACTTTATAAAAGAAATAGCAATTATTCTCTTAGAGTTGGGCAAGAATTGTCGGAACTGTAAATTTGATAGAACAGTTGGGATTTACATAACAATTAGTAAAAAATAATTGTAGTATACTACCTAAATGACACCCATATTTGTGAGGATTTTATAGGATTCTTTGGACCACTGTAGAAACTTAGAGAAAATACTAATTCGTTGAAAAAGAAATCCAGAGCTAATTGGTTTGAAATTTAGAAAATTTTTTAGTTTCCTCGGGATATTCTTGCCTCGAGAATTATTTTTCGAAGGTATTGGCACCCATATCCACCCATGGATGTTTAGCTTCTCCACAAATGTAGTTTGTATCAGGTTTCGCACAAGTTTGAAGAAATATTACATTGTACTCTTGAAACCACTAGTTTAGTTTACAGTGGTTAGGATCATCTTTCGCTGGCTTCCACTAGTTTAATTTAATAATCTCATTGCAAATGGATTGTGGGACATGAGATTGATAATCTCTATCTCCCTCATCCACATTTTTACTAATAGTTTGACATGCTTTCCAACCAGAGTATTATGTGTTGGATTTTCTTTTATATATATGCAGTATTTTCTTAGAAGAAATAAAACTGTTATAAAAGAATTTTAAAAAGTCATTGTAAAGTGGTAGCAATTAGTGCACCAGTAAAGAAGACAGAAAAACCAAAAATACGGCAAAAAAAAAAAAAAAAAACCAGGAGTCATCACCCCAATATTTGTGTCATAGACATGCATGCTCGTACGCTTCCACTATAGGAGTCTCTGAGCTCCTTACATGTCAAACCACTTTTTCCTTCTGTTATCTATATACTCACCAACTATAGGATAATGTGCTATAAAAGTTATAGCCCTAAGTTATTCTTAATTTTATTAGTGCACATTGATCATATGTTTACACAATCACAAGCGATGTAGTTTTATTTAATAGATAATTTATAATATTTGAATTGATTGCTACTATTATTTTTAATTGAGTTTACATTTATCAAACTTTCTGATTGTATCACTTATTGGCATATTTAACTGATATTCGTTTCTAGCTTCAATTCTAAAACTAAATATCATATCATTGTATTTTGTAACAGTTCCTACGCTAAACTGATTGCAAAGTTTCTAGATGAGAAACTTCATTCTAGAAATAAGAGTACATCAGAAGAAGAATTGGGGCATACACTTGATGAAACCTTGGTTTTATTCATATTTATACAGGTAATGTTAATGTTGTAACATAGCAATAAAATGGACTTTTACATAATTCTTTCATTTCTATATTAGAATTCATATTTCTGCTCTTGTTGAATTTGGTTTGCCAGTAATTTATATGTTGTTATTTGTCTTTGTAATATAATGAGAGACATCTGTCATTTTATTTCCTGTTGATTTAGGGCAAGGATGTAATTGAACCATTCTATAGGACGGATCTTGCAAAAAGGTTACTGTTAGGAAAGATTGTTTCCCCTGATGCAGAGAAGCTCGTGATCTCTAAGGTGATAATTGTTTTACTTTTAAATGCATTATTATAGATCATATTTCATCTCTTTATCATAATAAGAAGTCCTCATTGCTATATAGTTGAAGACTCAGTGGGGAAACCACTTTACCAACAAATTTGAAGGAATGTTCAAAGTGTGTATTTTGTTTATAACATGCATCTTTTGTTATCGGCTTTTGATTGAATTATATGTATGTGATTACAAATCATGAGATCTGGTTATTCTGGGTTGCTGATAACTGCTGATGCACTATAAAACTTTTGAGGTTGGTTTCACTTAGGTAATAACATTTTCTTCCATAACTAATGTTTTCCATATTTCTTGAGAGTAAATAGAGTTCATTAGAATTTGAAATTAATAACTGTGGCAATTTGACTTTTAGGAATAAATAAATATAATGATGACATTCAACACCCCCCCATGCATGATCGGATGCTTCCCATATAGGAGTTTAAAGATAAGCATCTTATCGGTATAAACAAGTCTATAATGCCGATCATTGAGAGTTTAAAATTAGTATGTCCACGTTGGGGTTGCAGTTCAGAATAAATGAGTGAAGGATCTTCATTGTTTGGGTTTTAGAGGAGTGGAGAGATGATATATTGTTAAATTAATGTTGTGGTGATACGTGGAAATGAGAACTTGGGACAGACAAAACTCTATCCCTAAAGAGAAACACCCGTCCTAAAAGTCCATTACACCAAAATTTTCATAAATTTTTTCCGCCCAAAAACTTTCGTGGGCGCGTTTTTGGGTTAATTGGGACAGAGGCATTTTTTCGTCCCAAAAATCCCAGCTTTTGAGGTGGCTTTTAAAACCATCCTTAATAATTTGCCCCAAATATCCAAAATTCTTGGAGTGTAGTCAGATATCATGCATAAAAAATTAAAATAATTGACTCTGGCCATGGAACTCCATAAACTTGCACTTATGATGCCAACTATTTATGTCTAGGTATAGAAATTTAAATTCACTCATTCCTACACTATAAGTGCATTTGAAACCATTTATAGAATCTTCCAAAAAAAAAAAAAATCAATCAATCTATGAAGTGCAACTAGGTACTCATAATTGGTAATTTGTTTCATGTTTTCAACTCTTCTATCTAATGTGTTTTTGTTGGTAATTTATTTGTAGATGTTGAATACCCGGTGTTCTCCAAGTAGATTCAAGGAAGCGAAATGCAATTTAAGTGAGGAAAAAAAAGGTGGTCGTACAAGAGATTGGGTTTGGGTCCCTGTTAGACATTAAGTGTATCAATTTAAAATGCAAACTATGTTCATGGTTTGTAGAATACTTTGATTCTAGAACATCCCACCTCACCCTTGAATGTGGCGATCAGATCCTTGTTACACCAAGTGACATTGAAGAGGTGTTTGGCTTACCCTCGAGAAGAGGAGAAGATGTGCCAAACTATATTATAGAAAATGTGAATTGGTTAGAGAATAGTAATTTTGTAAAAAATGGTGCAATAGAAGTGCAACATTTCGCGCATCAATTGGACGTTCTTCTTGTTGGGGATGACTTCAAGAGGGCTTTTGTCTTTTTCACTTGCAGATCATTTCTATCACCCATATTAAAAAACGAGACAAGAAAAAAGTTGTTGGGGGCGATTGATAATGTGGATGCTATTAAATCATACAATTGGGGGAAGTTTGTTTTTAGATTGGTTGAGAAAAGACGTTGTATCCTATAAAGGAAAGGAAGGAAGAAAATGTTGTAAATAAATACATGGATGCTTGTTCTTTCTCATGGTATGTTCTAAGATATAATATTTATAATGTGTCTATCATTTTATTAGGAACATCATACAAATAGCATAATGTTGCACTTGTATCACATAAATATTGAAACATCTGTCCAAATGTATAGCACTCCTCAAGAGACTCATATGGGGACTAAGAACATAATTTCAATACCAAAATAAACCACCAAAGGGACAATAGAGATTCAACTTAGAATAAGTTACATTATACTTAGAAATGTTTTCCAAAGAAGTTAAAAATACTAGTACAACATAGTGATACTAATGCAGTAGCAGAACTTCAAGAAATTAATAGTGATTACAAAATAACTTCAAGAAATTAATAGTGATTACAAAATAACTTCATTTTTAGGGCCTTAAATTAATAATTTCATTAATAATCTTGTCGTATCACGAACAGTGCAACGCCCTTACATTTTTAAATTGGGATTCAATTCATTTAATACGAGGTCTAAGATGGGAAGCACCTTCATCATCAGCAGCAGCAATGTAATACCCCTAGTTTTAAAAGTGTTATAATTGGAATTTTAATATTTATTTTATTGTTTTCATTATTTATTTTATTTGTTTTTGGTATTAACGTGGCTAGGTCTTTTTGTGCATTAAATTAAGTGTTGGGTGAATTTAAATGTTTATGAATTAAATTTATTTGTTAAGTGATTTTAAATGATTTATGTGTTTATTTATTTTTCTGTAATTGAATTAAATACATTTGTAATTGTTTAAATGTTTTGTGAGTTTAGTTAAATAAGTTAGTTAGGTTTAAATTATTAGTGCATTTAAATTGTAATGTTATTTAGGGTTTAGTCTTTTACTACCTCACGCCGACTAAACTGGGCCTCAATTAGGTTTTCCATGGTGGATTAGGGTTTTGATTAGTGCCTATATATAGACTGTAGTATGTCTTCAAAAAGGGTTGAGAACCTATACATGTACAGAGAGAAAACAAAGAGAATAACAGAGAGTTATCGGGAGAATTACAAAGAGAGATAAAGGGAGGAAGTCTAGGGTTTTGCCTTGGGCTAGGGTTGAACCAAGGAGGAGGAGGAGCAGTGTTTGGCTCGTGGATAAAACCAAGAGCAACAGAGGTGGAACAGTCGTTGGAGAGTTCATCGGAAAATTCAGAGACGGTTAAGGCAAGTTCTTTCCTTTCTCTCTCCCGTTGCCTGTGTTCTGTGCATCCTTAGACTGTCTCTAGGGTTTTAATGGATCACTAATTAAAGTTTACATGCTTGTTATATGCCAATTCAGATATCTGTATGCATGGAATTGTTCTGTTATAGTTCTTGTATCTCTGTGTTTTAGTCTGCGTTAAAAGCATGTTAAATCGGTAATGACTTTAATCACTGTAATTGAATTGAACTATTGTGAACAAGTCATAGGGATGTTATTGGATGTTTCTAGGACTCTTAAGACTAGGTTTAAGAAGCAACAGAGGGGTAGGAAAGGGTCGAAGATGGAGCAGATCGTCGGAAACGGCGAAGAAACAAACCGAGGCTCTCAAAGGAGAGAGAGCCGGCTCCCCCTTGTGGGAGAGCCGGCTTTAGGCTGATTTGAGCCTGCTCTAGGATTTTAGAGCAGGCTCTGTGGTTTTGGGTGTTACAGCGTGTGTTACAGAAGCTTTAAAAAAAAACTTAGAGAAGGCTCTTGAAAACTTAGAGAAGGCTCAATCCACTTAGAAAAGGCTCTTGAAAACTTAGAGAAGGCTCTCCCTTAGTTGGAGACGTCTCTAGGTAGCTTAGAGCCTTCTCCAGTTTTTTTTAGAGAAGGCTTTGTGGTTTTGTGCATTATAGAAGTTTAATTATGCACTGTTGGTACAAACTGGGTTGTTTTCAGCTGTGTTTGGGTTACTGTGATGGTTTTAAACCTTAAGTCATGGAGTATTAAGGGCCTAGGATGCATTAATCTATCTATATGCTAATGTTGTAAACCATAGGAAAATCTAAAGCAAACTGGAGGCAGGTTACAGACTTAACGGGTCGGAAGGATGTAATTGTGCAAACTGTGTCTAGCAACCAAGAAGGGTTGGAACATGGATTCCAAACATTATATCATGATGTATTAGAGCCACTTTTAATAAATTAAGGTCTTAGTACTCATGGATTTAACCGTAGGAAAGTGTACCACGGTACAGGTGGTTAACGGATGGAAGGAGTTCAATTGCCTAATTTAATTTTAGCAATTTAACGGAATATGTTTATATTTTAAAATCTTGTTTTGGTTGCACACTAGGATTATTTAATTAACAAGTTTGGTCTGTGCATAATTGGATATTAATGGTTGAAATGCTAAATTCCTTTTTGCAATTCATGGATTTAAACTTGGAATTTTAATTGTTGTAATAGTAAGTATTACACTAAAATTACTTGGATTAGGATTTGGCATTAGATTGACAGAACCTAGTTATCAATCTAATTGGATGTTGGCTTAGAATTAATTGAAGAATTAAATATATATTTTCTGTCAATTACCTTGATGGATGCTGGAATTTAACTTGACGAATTAGTAAACTTTATCTCGTTTAATTACATGGATGGATTCTGAATTTTTTAGTTGATGACTTGTTTCAAATGCTGTGTTTATCAACTATATGGATAATGTGGACTTTATTTGGTGTACAGTATAAAATGTTACATTATTTACGGATCATTTGCATGTATGCACCGGTATGGGACGGTGTCATACGGAGGGACGGATTAGGTCACAACGCTAATTCCTACCTATTCATACATATGGAATGGATTAACTAAAACAGTTAAATCCTACATGGTTTAATGTTAGTCAACTAAAATAGTTGAACAACATACTGGATGGTTGTTTATATTTCTATATTAGGAAGGATAGGGATTTAATTAAAACATTTAAATCCTAATTAAATGTTGTGTCTCGAGCGACGAACAGTTGAGCGGCACTACATTGGTTTGGAATAAGGGTACGGATTATAAAAACATAATTCTCCTTATATTTAAGTCCGTGCGGTTGAATAAGTTGAACGACTTACTGGATCTCTTATATAAGTCTGTGTGGTTGAATAAGCTGAACGACTTATTGGATTTCCTATTGATGGATAGGAATGGATTTTAAATATATTATTATGGTACCGCGATCTGAGCTTGAGTCTCATAGTCGACGGTTAGGGTACGTATATGTTGTAGGATGCATAGCTAGCTATGTTGGTTGAGGTATACCCTGTTAGGCTTAAGTAGTCATACCCATTCAGGTGCGTATTGCATGTTGTCTTCTATTCAGGTTGAGACCCTCAGCATAGTTTAGTGAGAGTCCTGTAGTGTGGATATATATTTATCTATTACGGACTATATAGATATGGTTGAGACATCTAGGATGTATCTGCGTATCGGGTCTCTGCTTGGATTGTAGTTAAGATAGAACTTGTTCGTGGGTCTGACCCACTATTATTTTTCAGGTAACGGACGGTTCCAGGTCTTAGAGCTGGTTCGTGCTAAGCAGAGACGACTACTCATTCTACCGACGACGTAGGAGGTTTCTTCATGGTTTAGCAGTGGACTTCTTTTCAGTTGTTCGCTTTCCAGTATTTGTTTTGATTAGGGGTCCACCAGATGGATTCCCGAGTTGTATTTGAATTTGAAAAGTTGGATGTATCAGATTAATACTTTATTTATAAAATTTTATTATGAGGTTTTCAGTTTTGGGTTATCATTCTAGTTTCTTTTCAGTAGTTTTATTTATTCCTGTTTCCTTAATTGTATTCTGTGTTCGTTTCTTGCTAATTGGTTTGATATCCTCGGGTAATCGGGCGTGGGCCTTGCCAACCTACATCCGGAAATCCGAGGGTATCACAAGCAACAACAGCTGGAATTGATATATCATGCATGGGACAGAAGACGTGAAATGTTCGCATAGTTTCTATTATGTTTTAACACTAAATCATGGATCAACCATCTCATAAATATTTAAACATAATTTATGGATGGCATAACATGCATGCGAACAAGGAATCCCAGTTATGGTCCATTTCAAACAACTATAAGACATTTCAGTGCCAAATACCACTTTAAATGGTTTTCTGTGTCGATCATATATTGTACACTCAGTATTCGAAACACGCATCAAACTAAAACCAAGTGCAAAATCTTGCTCATTTTGGATTTTTTCCTCAATATGCTTCCCAACCGGGATAGTCCACTTTTGAACGTCCAAACTCTTTTGGTACAAAAATTTGTTGAGTCTTTACATGTGTGTATCCGTGAGCTTTGTGATTGAAAAAACCCTATCTTCTTTAACCCTTGCATTGAAGGACTCTGCTTAGTTGGTGTATAATTTATCCCAACGCTTGGATGTAAACTTACCATTTAATTAATGTTCTGGTGAATTCTAAAACCCAATCGCATAACTCATCCCGAAATACCCGCATAGCAGCCAATGCATTCTCATATTAGTCTAGAGTTCGAGCATATGCAATTTTTTCGAGTAATTTTTTGATAGTTTCTATACCCGAAGTCCTCAATCGTAAACTTTGTCTCCCAAGAATGGATGTAGAAAAATTTGCCGTTAAGTGACGAAGACACCATGAGTGGTGTTGGGAGCCAAAAATATCTCTAATACAACTTATTAAGCTCGGATGCTTGTCAATAAAAATTGTCACAATGCGACCATCTGGAATCTCTTTTACCTTGCTCAAGAACCAATGCCAATCATCATCATTCTCAGAAGAAACAATAGCATATGTCAAATACCACAAGCCTTTATTTGTATCGAAACTCGTTGCACCAAGCATTGTGCCTTTATAATTACCACTCAATTGGCAAATATCAATTGCTAATATAGACCTACAATAGTTGATGAAACCTCGGATGAAGCACCCATAAGCTACAAATACTCACTTAAATCTCCTATCATCCGTGCACTCCCACGATGTAATTGTCCTGGAAATATATTCTGTTATTCGTTCACATAACCAGGGGACTAAAATATAGCTATCCTCGGGATTACCCTCAATAATATTATGTGCACACTCCTTAGCTCTCCACGATTGCATGCA